TTTGTTCACACACACACACACACACACACACACACACACACACGGAGCTTGGTTTTTTAAAACAAGTTAGTAATTGGTGAGTGTAATGTACCCTGATAGGAAGTCAACAAAGAACCTCTATTTGGTAAGAAAAGGTGACTCAAGAAGTTTCTTGTGGTTTTAAACTTCAATATGTTACAGATCTACCAATCAAGCCTCTTTTAAAAAGTCAATATAATACAAGCACTTTTAACTAAAGCTTTCCATTTTAATTTTTCAAAATTAGACATTTCCTGGAATTTTTTTTTTGTATTTGTTTTCATGCATAAAGCAAAAGCAAGGGATAAATAAAGTCTAAGTTCAGGCTTGGTAGATTTGTTTACATTGGAACAACAACTTTAAACTCTAGGAAAGAGCTGATAACTCAGAAAAAAAAAGTAAAAGGCAAGTAATGAATTAAAGGAAAGCTTGTTAGGGAATTATCTTTGTTTGATTTTTCAAGTTATAGAGGCTTTTCTCCAAACTTCTCTGCTTTTTAGGTTCTGGTTGAAAGTTCGATAGATAAATCAGGGATGTTCAGTAAGTAAGAGAGACATAGGGTACTTTGAACTTCCAAAAATGTGTCTAACTTTGTATACATGGATTAATAGAGACATTGAAGTATCAGAGTTTGATATTTTGTGTTCCACTTTAAAGGACTTCATTGTGAAATCGAACTCTCATTTTTAAAAAATTATTTATTTTTTATATATCACTTTGAAGCGTTTTTCTCGCTCTCTCTGTGTGTGTGAGCCAAAATCAGAAATTCAGCTATAATTGAGTCACTTCCTTCTTGGCTAACACCCAACATAATCATAACTGTCATTAATATCTGGTTGCCTTTTTTCTAAAGAAAAAGGAAATTGCACATTCTGATTAACCAGAAGTTATCTGAAATTAATGAGGAAAGTACCGATTTTCAGCGACCTCTCTTGTAGCTTTCTGGAAGTAATCAGGTGAGGCAAAATTCCCATAAAAGCTTTATTTTCTAGAACAGACAAAAGTAGGGCAATTAAATAAAAGCAATTATTTTTACAATAAAATTCCTTCAGTAGATTTAATTCCTTGACAAATGCATAAAAGTAATGTCTACATTTCTCAAGACCAACATTAACATGGACTAAGAGAGCAGAATATTTTAGTGACATCTCAGCCGAGTTTGTATTGTAACTTTTATTTTTAGAATGTTTTCATTTGAATCGTATTATTTCACAATATTTTGTAAATTACGTCAATCATTTTAGTGTTTGTTTTAAAGATGCTGCTAGTATAGGCCCTTCTTGATTGCACAGTTGTTTACAGTGCCGCACTATGAAGATATTTGCAGCAGGAGTTCAAGGCACGGCAGACCTCTCCTGTCTCTTTTGTTGCTCCCCTCAGCAATGTTTTCAGTCAGTCAGTCTGTTCTACTCCCCATTCTGTCTCTGGTGAATCTTCTGACACCGCCCCCAATCTCTGATCTGTACCCCAGTTCTTGTATGCATAAATAAATAAATATTAAAAAAAAGAAGATGCAACTAGTAGAGAGGTTTGATGTTCTAAATAAAGTGATGTATCTACTTAGTACCTGTGCTATAGACAGAAGCTCTTGAGAACACTGGTGAATCCAGTGTTTTATGAGCGCTCTATGAAAATTGCTTCAAGTAATTTATCCACATTTAACAATGGGACAATTAAGTTTATTATTGTCTTTAAAATTCACATTTTAAATGGATCAGTTGTTTCTCTAGAAAGCTATTATTCTGATTAGGATAGGCTAAAAAAAAAAAAGCTTTGTTTTTGCCTTCAGGGGATAGTAGGAAATTTTATATTTTAAAATGCATTTTATATAACTTAAAACATCTTCCAAAGTTTAAAATCTGAAGTCAATTCTGTTTCCTTAAATGTATACTCTGTCCAACATCATATTATAAAAACTCTCAAATACAATGAAAAATTGAAATATCTGTATACTAACTTAATACATACCATTTAGATTGTACATATAGCAAGTAATTTCCTTTATCATGTATTTACCCAACTAACCCTCTATTGATCCCTCTATTCATCCATCACTCCATGTTATTCTTTGAATCATTTAAAAATAACTTGTAGGGCCCTCCCTGGTGGCGCAGCGGGTTAAAGCACAGCACTGAGAAGCTAAAGCCACTTCCGCATGAGTTCGATTCCCGCCTGCCCCGGAGGTGACCACATGGCGTGGCAGACCTCTCCTGACCCGCCCGCTGCTCCCCTCAGCAGTGTACTTCGTCGATCTGCCTGTTCTGCTCCCCACTCTGTCTCTGGTGAAGCCTCTCGCCGCCCCTGAGCCTCTGGCCTGTACCCCAGTTCTGTATGTACAAATAAATAAATCTTTAAAAAAAAAAAAACAAACAAACTTGTAGACATCAGTATACTTTATCCAATTCGTCAACATAGAGGTAAAGGGCTTATTGAATATACAACCTAATTATTTTTAAACAACCTTGTTATTTTTTTACATTATAGAAATTCTTCCCTCAGGTGTAGTCACTATAGTTTTCCCACCATCAAAGTGCCCACAGTCATCTACAACCTTCTGTAACAGGGTGGTCCCCAGGAAAAGGGGAGGTTCCAGGTTCCCTGCCCCAACCAAAGAAGGGCAGAGCAGAGCAGGGAGAAGAAGAATCTGTAGAGGAATCTAAGGAGGAAGGAAGAAGGATGGAGAGTCAGAAGGAGACCTGAAGAAGGCACATGGAGCAGAGAAACATGTGAAGAATCTTTCTTTTGTTTCTTGGTTCAGGACTGGTTGGAACAGATGTGGGTGAGAGACCCATGGGGAGGTTGACTATGGCAGTGTTTATCTTGATTTTGATTTTGCTCTTTTCCTCCCAGATTTGTCTGGCCATTTCTGACCCTTTTTTATGGGTCCCACCAAAATGTGCTTTGGGCTTGTGGTGGGCTTTCAGGCCTTGCTTTGGGTCAGTCCCTTTTGGGTTGACTTTTACCCACGAGGGGATAAGTAACTTTGGGTGTTTGATTTACAAACTATATTCTTTGTCTTTTCCGTATTGCACACTGATTGTATTAAAGTTCCTTTCCATTAAAGGTCTTACATGTTTTGTCTTGATGTGGCGGATGGTAGAACTTATTTAGAATGGGCAGGTTTGGGGGCTCAGAAGTGCCCCCTCACTGCCCTGTAACAATAACACTCTTTGATGTTTATGCACATAAGTTGAAAACTTGCACATAGATATTTATAGCAGCTTGATTCATAAGACCCAATATCCCCGTGCAAGTTTTTGTGTGGACATAAGTTTTCACTTATGTGCATAAATATCAAAGAGTATTATTGCTGGTATAGTAAATATAGTAAGGCAATGTTCAGATTTCTAAGAAAATGCCAAACTATTTTCCATTGTGCTACAACATTTTGTATTACTACCAGCAATGAATTAGAGTTTCTGTTGTTTCATACCCTTGCCAACATTTGGTGTTAGCATTTTGGATTATAGCCATTCTGATAGGTGTGTATTAACATTTTATTGTTTTAATTTGCTTTTCCTAGTAATATATGATCAACACCTTTTCATATACTTATTTGCTGTCTGTACATATTCTTTGGTGAGGTGTCTGTTCAGGTCTTTTACTTAGTTTTTAAGTGGACTGTTCAGTATACATCTTTTTAAAATTTTGTATGATTAAATCAGAAGTACACATAAGGTGCTTCTGCTGCAAGCTAAGGTGTGATGGTTTTCTCAAGGAAAAAATTTGATTGTTGGAATTGAAAACCAAATTGGCCACTTTTTTTTTCCCCACATAGCACCATTTTTACTTGAAAGAATGACTGATAAGCTACAATTATTCAAAATTGGGTAATGGCAGACATTTTCTTGAAAGAAACTAAATGAGCCTATCATTTCAAGAGGAAAAACTGACAGTATAAATATAAAATTCAAGTTTTCAAGCAAAAAATTAGACTTTTGGAACCCTTTCATCTGCCAGCGTTAGCTCGACATCTTTTCAAAAGACTTTTCTGATAAGATTGGTGGTGAGATTAATAAATGATATTTAAATGGTGTATAGAGAAATGAGTCAATATTTGAAATGAGTCAATATGGAACTCAGTAAGCCAATACTCTGTCTTCAAAAGCCCCTTCTAATAATATGAGTAGGCAAAACATACACATAGAAGATTTGCAAATCTTATTTACAACTTGATATTATTAAAAGGAAAAGCAGCCCAATTAAAAAATAAGCAAAATATGTAAACTGATATTTCAAAATGGAAGATGCAGAAATCCTTTAAACACATGAATAGGTGCTCAAAATCATTAGTCAGTGAAAGACTGCTGTAAATGCATCAGAGTGGCCAAACTGAAGTGACTGACAATGCTAAATGTTGTGAGGATATGCAATAATCAAAACTCATAAGCTGGTACTAAGTTAAGCCGTGAAGGATGAAAATGTGGGGAATGTCTGGAAAAGAATATGAGTGAATTTTCTGGGAAGATGGAATATTCTATATTTTGATAGGGATTTGGGCTATCCAAGTGTATGCATTTGACAAAAACTACTATATTACAAATTTAAAATTTTCCCAGTTTGTGACAGAGTTCTTGGAAAGAGCTTCAAGTTGGCAAAAAGCAAATTGAATACTGGTTAACATAATTTAGTACCAGAAATTTAGATACTATTTTAATTTCTAATTTGTGAAATCAGTATTTATATCTGATCAGCTATACAAAAATTCCATAATTTTTCTTTTGAAAAGAAGGTAATAGAAATTCCAAATAATAAGGGAGCGACAACTACTTAGAGGTCAAGTTTACTAATCTAGCACCAGAGCTCCAGTCTGAGAATCTCACATGTGGCCAGGATGATGGAAGAGTGAGGATGCTGCAATAGTCAGAATCATCTGAACTTGTGGTCTCTTCTGTGTATTAAGCAAAAACAAAAGCTTTGGTACAGAGTTAAAGGGGGCCCCCAAGTGCAGTAGAATTCAGAAGACAGGGCTGGAGTCAGCCTCATGAACTAGGGGATTTCTTCTTGGCATCCAGGTCCTTTACATTATCTTCAAGTTTTCTGGCCTGGTTTGGTATGTCATAGTTCTGCATCAGATGCATCGCAACCACATTGCCCAAAATAAATCCAAGCAGGAACTGGAGCATGGTGTCGCTGAGGAGGAAGTAGAGAGATGCTGTGGTCCTTTTCCCTGTCTTATCTAAAGTGAGATTCTGTCATATATGCTGCTCTGTAGTCTGTAGTTTTTATTCAATCTGGGGTCAGATTTGCCTCATGATAGCTTGGCAGATGATAGCTTCATGTAGGGTTAGGGTGTGTGCAGAGGATATGTTTAGGCTTTCAATAATTTCCTCTAGGCCTCCCAGAACCACCTCAGTAAAAATTCAGTTTCAGGTAAAAAAGCGAGTGCTTGCTAGACCTGTTCCTTCAATCTACGTTCCCTGGTGGAACCTGGAACCAGCCTTCTTAGAACATTGCCCCTCTTAAAACTCTTTCATAGAGCCATCACTGACAACTCCAGAGGATAAACTTGATTAAACTGTGTGAGATTGGGTAAAAATTAAAAACTTTGTTTTACTGTTAACCACACATCAATGATTCTCTAGGGGTTTCTTTGTTGTTCTTTCAACTGAAAGTTTGTTTTTCTCAACTCACTTAAATGAGTGAACCCTCCTTTTTCTAGTCCATTTGTTGGCAAAACTCATAAAATGGGTTGAATGCTGCTTGTTGTTCTCTGACTTCCTTTCCCAATCAGCATCCTCCAAACCTAACTAGACACCCCCCAGACAATGATGTGGATATAAGAAGTTGCTTTCTTAAATTTTAAAGGAATGTTATAGGGTAAAGAGCATACATACTGACATCAGTGGTGGAAGGAAAACAGCAGTTTCTTCTTTGCCTTGGTAATTGCTTCAATGCAGCAAAGAAAGTGAGAAACAAATATAGATGCTATTTCTTATAAATCTAGTTTTGTAATAATAATTATAAGTATCTATAATTGTCAGCCACAAAATATAAGGAAGGACTGTGTGAGAGAAGAATCCTCATGGATGCACAACTAAGACTAAGTCTTCAGTTCTCCAAAGCATTAGGTATTTTGATCTGAAAAGCAAAAGTCAATTAGATATAATAGGAGCAAAATGGGCGAGCTGGAAGCAGAAAATTCCTGGCAACTCTCCTACCTTCTGTAGTTCCACTTCCTTGATATCTGTGTCACTGCCTCTACTCCCTAAGTCTAAAAATCCCTCAAACAAGTCCCTCTGTGTAACCATTAACCCCTCTTTTTTGATATTACCACCTCATATGGTCACCTCCTTGCTTATTCAGTTAAAATTCCAAGATTTATTATAGTAATCATGTATTGGCATGCATTTTCAACACTTGTGTCCTTTTTTTCCACTTCCTCTTACTCACCTGGGAAATCTCCAAACTTATTTTAATTGAACATTATTCATTCTAAGCTGAATGTGGGCAGAGTAAAATCCACCTCCATGCTGCAGAGTCTCACTCCAAATTCTTGCATTTACTAGGTTCTCAAGGTTTCCCAGTAATCAAACTACATTTTTTTGGTCCTTTCATCCTCCTACTCTTCTTGACGAAATTTCTAGGTGATACCTTCATTTTTATCTGCAGGCCCCCCATAACACATCCAAATTTACTCTCAGTTGATGACTTTTCATGTATAGGGAAAAAAAGAGAGTTAAATAGTAAATCGAAGACTAAACCACCAATGTTACACCTACATAACCTCCTTTACTTGCTCTTTGCCAGCTTTGGAAGCCCTCTGTTCAAGGGAAGCTGTTTTGCTTGGTTGTCTGATGGCCTCCAGCTGACACATTTTTGCTTTATGGCAGAATTTATACTGAGAATCCTCATTTACCTTTCCCTTCTTCCCCTTTCCTTGTGCTTCTCCCAGCCAATGACTGAGAATCATGAGAACACTAGAGATAAGTCTTTATTGTCCTACTTGAGATTTCTCTAACAGGGAATATCTGCTCCAAAACTTCCTATTGACCCAATCAAAGCTTTCTGAGTGGCACTGCAGTTTGAGTGTCTTTCTGCCCAATTCTCCTCTTTCCCCCTTTTAAAAAAGGCTTTATATACTTAGATATATATTCATATTACATATAATTCATCTATTCACAATGTACAATTCAATACTTTTTTTTATTATGCTCACAGTTGTGCAGCTATCACTACAATTTTATATCCTTCCCACCTTTTAAAAATACATTATTTTCTTTATCCCAGAAAGAAACTCATACATATCCTTTAATTCTTACTTCTCAACCCCCCATCCTTTACAGGATTAGACAGCCACTAATTTGCTTGTCTCTATATTTTGCCCCTTGTGGATAATTCATATAAATTTAATGATACAATATGTGACCTTTTGTAACTGTCTTTACCTTAGCTTGTTTTCAAGATTAGATTGTTTAGATTATTTTCAAAAGTATCAGTACTTGTTCATTTTTTATTGCTGAATAATATTCCATATATAATTATACCACTTTTTATTTGCCCACCTGATGTCTAAAATAAATTCAGGTAAGCAAAATGAAGTGAGTTTATTAGAGAAACAAGAGTGAGGAATTGAACCCAAAACCAGCCTCTCGGTAACTTTGGGAAAACTGCATGAATTCTGAGCTTCTCATTAGAGATTATATATAGTTGGTGTTTTGACATGGAGGCTACATAAAATATACATGAACATATGCAAGGATTTCTACAGAGACAAAGAAAATCCAGGTAGGGGTTTATTATTGTACATCTCTCATATTATCAATGCATTGAGAAAACAAAGAGGGTTGAATTTTATCTATTAGAGACTTGCCTTCTGGGAACTGGGAGTTTTAGCAATGTCATAAATTTTAGATTTGACACTCTTTGAAGTTATTGATTTCTTTGGAGGTAAAAGTTTCCAAAAGCAGCACTTCAGACAACATTTTTCCTGGATATAGCCTCTTCATAGGACTAGATCAGCTGTATTCTGGCTTTAGATTTGTGTCCCTTAATTGGGACCAGGGAGAGGGGTATGTACTTAATTGTTAGTTTTAATTAACATATCTATCAGCAGATGGACATTTGGGCTATTTTTACTTTTTGCCTTTTATGAGTAATATTGCTGTGAACATTTGTATGCAAGTATTTATGAGAATCTTTGTTTTTACTTCTCTTGGGACTATACCTAGGAGTAGAGTTATTGGTTGAGATAACTCTGTGCTTAACCTTTGAAGGAACTACCCAGTCTTTCATTACCTTTTTTCTTTCATAGCTCTCAGATATGCATTATGGTCTGACTAGTATGTCTGGTCTTTATCCTTCACAAGTGTTTCTCCTAATAAATCTTTTGTACACATAATTTTATCCTGGTATCCACTTCCTATCCGCCTTAAACTTATACATTCTACATGAATGCCCTGTGCTTTAAGGCCAAACTTTTCATTTATGATCTAGATTCTTTCTCCTCTTCATATTCAAGTATATTGCTCTAGCAATTCCCCTTCTTCCTTTTTCATAAATTGTTAGTAATTCATTGAGTAGAATACATGTTATTTCTCCCAAAATTAATTGTTTAATTGATTACAGTTCTTCCTTGTCCCTCCTTCCCCTTCCAGCACTTTACCCATTTTTCTTTTCTCCTTTCACACCACCTGCATTTGTCTACTTTATCCTCCTCAATCTGTGTGCTGATTTTCTCTTGAATCTTTACTATCAAGATTTTGTTCCAATAGTTTATGTATTAATTACCATTGATGACTTCTAGAATGTTAACTATAATACATAGTTCTTAGTCCTTACCTGGTACTGTGATATTTCACACAGTTGCTTCTATTTTCTCTTTAAAATACTTTGACTTTCAGATCACCACACAGTTGATTTTTGTCCAGTCTTACATTGATCACCTATCTTCATTGATCTCTTTGGCTAGTTATTTTTAATGCTTCTAAACTCTGAACATTGGGTTTGTGTACAACAGGTGTGTGTGCTTGAACTTATCCTCTTTTCTATCTACATCTGCATTCATTCTCTTGATGATTTCAACTAATACCATGATTTTACATATAATGTACATATGATTACCACATATATATCTGTCTCAAATATCTCTCTCTTAATAAACAATACATTTCTCATAGTTAATATAGCCAAAGCTGAGCCCTAAAGTTGCTTCTTACCCAGTTTTCTTGATCTTAGTCAAAGAGAGTTTTGCCCTTAGAGAAGCTCAAGCCAGAATCTTAGAGTTTGTAATTACTTCCTTTTCCTCATATCCTGGATCTAATTCACTGACTCTATCTTCAGAATGCATTCAAATGGCTATAATCCCCAAAGCTAGCAATTTAAACTATTTGGTTATTATAATTAAACTCCTTATAACCTTTCTTCTACTTTTGGTCCTGTATTAATAACATAATAGAGGCAAGAATAGGTTGAACAGTGACTGTAAAACACATTAGTGAATACCTAACATTTTCAGAGTACCTACCACATAGTAGGTGCTTAAAAAAATATTTGTTGAGAAAGGGTTCTTTCTTTTCCATTGGCTGCAGCCATCAGGTAAGCCAAAATGTGCACTTTCAAGTTTATCCAGTACTGCTGCTGGCAGTACTGCGAGCTGACAACCTCCATAGGCACCCCATCCTACCAGGCTAGATGAAGTATGAAGACTGGGATACAAAAGCAAGCAAGGTTATGTCATATATTGGATCTATGTGTGCTGTCTAGCTGTAGATATCCAGTTCCAAATGCTGCAGCCTATGGCAAACATGTCCAGAATGGTGTAAACCAGCCAAATTTGCTAGAAGTCTGCAGCCCATAGATGAGGAGTGAGCTGAACACCACTGTGGAGCTCTGAATTCCTACTGGGTTGGTGAAGATTCCACATACACATTTTTTGAGCTTATCCTCATGGATCCATTCTATATAGCTATCAGAAGAAATCCTGACCCAACAGGTCACTAAACAGGTCCACAAGCACAGGGGACCACAGGGGCTGACCAATCTTGCAGGCGCAAGAGCCGCCTTGGAAAGGGCTTCAAGTTCCACTACAGTATTGCTTGTTCTTGCAGTGCAGCTTGGAGAAGGTGCAATACTATCCAGCTTCATCATTATAGCTAATAAGTAATGTTTGTAAAATTCTTACCTGC